CACACACACACACACACACACACACACACACACACACAAACACACACACACACACATACACACACACACACACACACGAACACACACACACACACACAAACACACACTCACACACACAAACACACACAAACACACACACACACACACACACACACACACACACACACACACACACACACACACACACACACACACACACGAACACACACACACAAACACACACACACACACACACACACACACGAACACACACACACACACACGAACACACACTCACACACACACACACACACACACACACACACACACACACACACACACACACACACACACTTCCCTAGCCATGGGGGTTCGGGTGTATCGGGAGACCCACCCTTCACTGATAAAGGTCCAGAGTTTGTCCCACACATGAGCTTGTTTGTCCTGTGCCATAAATAGTGAAAACAGCCCATCGCTAGAGGCTTTAAGGGTTTGGGCGGTGTTTGACAGGGTGTGCACAACGTGTCTGAAGAGCGGGGAGGGATGCGGTGGGGAGGGGTGAGAAGGGTGCGTGACGTATTTGAGGACTGAGAGGGAGACGCACGATTTCCGGGAGATTATCACTCGTGTGCGGCATCCGGGAGTCTCTGTGCTTTTGCGGGAGACTCCTGGAACTACTGGGAGACTTGTGATGTCTGGACTAACCTCCTGCCCTACTCTTAACTCTCTCTTCATACAGCCGTATGCCTTTTACACATCCATAACACACTGTGATGTTGCCGGGCTCGGATCTCAGACCTTATTCCTGAAACACAATAATGAGCAACGAAGCACCGACAGCGGCCCGTATTAAACCTGATGTGAACCCTAACAACTCCAAGCGTGTGCTGATGATGAGCACCTGACCGGCTGATTCAGAATACTGTCACTAAATGCAGAATTTACATTTCAGAATTAAATAGAAAACGAGGCATATCACTGCAGAAAGCTCCACTGCTGGAGAAGGAGACCCCCTTACAGCAGGCGGGCGACAGGCCTGATCACACTGACACCCTGCAGCTCTCCTGAGCTCCAGCACTGCACTCACTGTCTCTGTCCATCAGTGTCGGCACACTCATCCAGCGCTTCATCACTCTGATCATCCATCATTTCCTGCTTTACTCTGTGTTTTAGTGATGTCCTGGCCGCTTTATTCTGGGCATGTTTAACACGGCCACCCCTGCCTAAACTCTGGGCACCCCTGTGGCCACTCCATGGATTTGCTGTTGATATTATTAATTGAAATGTACTTCTGTAAATTCACAATATTTCAATAAATACATAAATGATTGATGTAACTGATGTAGCTGATTCACTCCCCTTTCCTCCCCGATCCTGACAGCACACACACACCTGCAGTAGACAGCAACAGCCATGTAATGTTTACCAGTTCATCAGTAGAGGAAGCTGCATTAATATATAATAAAATATAATATAATATAATATAATATAATATAATATAATATAATATAATATAATATAATATAATATAATATGTATGAAAAGTGTTTTTAAACTGATTATTGATTTTATTTTTTTATTTTATTGAATCTGAATTTATAATTTTTTTTAGGAATAAATTGCGATATTTCAAGAGGAACTCATTAAATGAATTAAAACAACATTATTTCATTTTCCAGAAACAGAAATATAACATCACACTGAACTCATACAGCTGTGTGTGTGTGTGTGTGTTGCCACTGATGTTTGTGCAAGCTAACAGTATCAGGATAAGAGTGTGTGTTATTATACTGATAAGCAGAACATGAGTGCAGGTGAAAACACTACAAGCCCCATGATGCATCAGTGCAGCGCCTGACACCAGCGCGTGTGTGTGTGTGTGTGTGTGTGTGTGTGTGTGTGTGTGTGTGTGTGTGTGTTTGTGTAGTCGCTCAGTGCGCTAGAGTGATGGAAATCTGATTCATTTGAGCGAATCGGCTCGTTTGAGCGATGCTCCACTGAATCAGTTCAGCAAACCGGCTCGTCTCATTGAACGCATCTTCTCGATTTAACGGTTAACGCGCACATATCCGTCTGACCGACGCGTTGCGGTCTGCGCGTCACTCGCGTTTCCGCCTTTATTCTTTCCTCTACAGCTTCACACCGGGCCGGTTCAGCCCCCCACCCGGGACCGCTACCGAGTCTCCGGTTCAGAGTGTCGGTGTGGTGAACCGGGCGCCGCCGGAGAGTCGCGGATGCGGGAAGATGGAGGAGGCAGCAGCGGGGATTATGGAGATGTGCGTCTGATATTTGACCCAGCTGTAGCCCAGCATCTCTCCAGCACACACACACACACATATGCGCGCCGCGACAGAAGAGCAGCGGGACGGGAGCGGCAGCCGGTGACGCGGAGGATGGAGAGCGGCGGCGGCGCGTGTGTGTTCGTGTTTTGCGCATAAAGACTGACGGAGACTGACTGAGAAACGCTCGCACTGACGCGTGAGGATGCGCGCGGCGCGTCTGCTTCTGCTGTGCGGAGTCGCGGTGTGTGTCGCGCGGCTCTGCGCTTCCTCGGGCCCGGCGCTGCTCCGCGTTCCGCTACGCCAAGGGCCCTTGACCCCCCACAGCACCCCCGCGGCCCACAGGAGCCCCCACAGTCCCCGCGTGCGCTCCCGCAGAGCCACTTCCGGAATCAGCTTTATCAACATGATCGACAACCTGCGCGGGAAATCCGGACAGGGCTATTACATAGAGATGGCGGTGGGGAGTCCTGCGCAGAGGGTGAGACGACACACACACACACACACACACACACACACACACACACACACACATACATACATATACACACACACACACACATCACAGATACAGATACATTAGCAACCAATATTAGAGCACTGGATGAAGAGCGATGAACAGAAAATGCTGAGCTGCTGGAGTCAGAGGTGTGTGTGTATGTGTGTGTGTGTGTATGTGTGTGTGTGTGTATGTGTGTGTGTGTGTATGTGTGTGTGTGTGTGTGAGTGTGAGAGAGGAAGACGGGTCAC